GAATGTCCTATTGGCGAAAGTCCGAATTGGCGATCTTCCGGTAACCCACGACAAGAGTATTTGTTTGAATGTAAGCATAGGTAAACAGAGAAGTCTTATATTGAGAGGTGACGGTGTGCTGTAGGATAACTTTTATTATTTCCTATTCCGTATCATAGGTTAAAAAAGGTTGATAGCATCAACATAGAATACAATTAGTTGGAAACTGACAATAAAAAAACTTGTAGTCAGCTGATAATCAAAGCTCGATGAAACTAGTTTGAATTGCATTCAAAGCGTGTTTCGCATACATATAATATCGTATTTCTGATATTGTATTCTCCGAAGTCTAAGATTGAGGTGCAGCTACGAATAAGGATGAAATGAATACGTACAACGACACTCTTTCAAATCGACACCCCAGTCAATACGTATCAATATTGTCATTACTACTAAGGGTATCTTTTTTTTTCAGTCATAGATGTAACTGCCGATTTGAAAGAGTGTCGTTTTACATATTCATTTCATCTTTATTCGCAGCTACACCTCAATCTCACACTTTGGAGAACATAATATCAGAACTACAATACTGTGTGCATGCAAAGCGCGTTTTAAATAGAATTGAAGCAAGTTTCATCGAGCTTTTCTTATCAATTGACTAAAAGCTTCTTTATTGATGGCCTCGAAAGAATTATTTTCTATACTGATCCTATCAACCTTTTTTAACCAATAATAAGGAATAGGGAGTGATAAAAGTCATTTTACAGCACACCATCGCCTCTCAAGATAAGACTTCTCTTTTTACCTGTACTTACATTCAAATAAATACTTATGGCATGTCTCAGTAGTACTCAGAATGTCAGTTTTTGAAAGAGTTTTCGGAGATTACATACGGTAGAGCTAAGATTTTCGGTATTCAAAAGACCAATCTTTCATGCGTCTATTCAAGAAATTAAAACCCATTTGGACGAAAGAGTCTTTGATACAAGGAGATTTCGCACTACTTTTCCTTTTGCAGCTATTTTTAAAAGAAACCCAGCTAAGACTCTGTCAATATATGGCTCCAGCTGTTCCCGCGTTGTAGGTGGTGTTTTGTAAAAAAGAGCATCAGCCGACAAGGCTGTATACTTAATCAAAAAAGGCTCTTCCGATATTTTTGATTTTACACTAATAAAATTCCGAAAATTGATCTGTTTTATGGTAAAATCGGAGTTGTACATCTTGTGCTGATTGACTGTAATTAGAAAAGTGAAAATCTGCTTTTAATTTTACAACGAACATAAATTATGATTTACAGAAATCAGCAAATCCTTTTTCAGACAAGGTTGTTCGTTCCGTTTAGAATTCTAAAATGGCCAAAGTAGCTCCAGAACTGATTCTTGATGCCGAACAACTACCAAATACTACTGCCGTCCCACAAATGGACCAAGCACCTCCAAAAGAGTTGCCAAAACCTTTGGCTGACTTTAAACAATACGTCGACTCCAAAATGTGCTACTATTCCAAGCCTGTTGAAAAAGCTGAACTCATAAGTGTTGAGCCAAAGATTGCCTATCAGTGTCATATGAAAATACTCATGGAAACACGAAAATTACGCACGGAAGTAACGCCTTACCGTTGGGATACTGATACGGTCTTGGGTAGCCATACATTGGGTAAGTTAACATGTTAACGTTCAGTTTCGTCATGAAACCAGTCTGAGCACAATGGGCATCTTGTTATCTAGTGATGTCTCGTCATTCTGCTTCTGAGGGAACCTTTTCAGGTATCCTCTTTCGATTTCCATGATTTTTTGCCTATCGATACTAAGTAGTGTTCTAACAAAAGCTCTACAAAGATTCGTATTCTTATAATGACTTGTTTAAGTTATCAAATTTCTAATATGCCTATTATCTAGAAGCTTCGACAGGACCGTGGCTTTTCAGAACACTCGAGTTCTTTTTATTTTTATCGCAACCTACAAGCATAAATGCAGTTTTTTACGTCCATTCTAAAAGCATCAATTGTTTCAGGTGTAAACTGAAGATTTCCATTGAAAATTGCTAAATACAAGAGCATTTTTTATACTGGTGCCTAATCTTACCACCACAGGACAAGAATTTTCACTTTCTGCAAAATAAAAGAAGATCTAAAAAACAGAATATGTACATTTGTAGCCCTCAATCTGAAAATGCTGAGGAAACAACACAAGGGATTTTATCTCTTGTTATAAGAGAATTAGATAGCTTTACAACAATGATCCGGAATTGATGATATGAAGCATGTTGGAGCTCTCATTATTGAACAGGACCTTTTTAATCTCATACTCTCTAAATATGATAAAATTGTATTTTTCTACTCAATTTTATTGCTGAATCAGGATAGACGAGGGTGTGGGTGTTGAAAAAGTAGCTTAATTGAAGCTCAGCAATGTCTATAAAAAAGCGAGTTCATAATTGCTAATACTAGGTGTTGCTCATTGCAGTTTCTGTCGTATTTTTTCGACTAAAAAGTGGTCACATCAAAACTATAGACTACAAATTCATAATCAGCTTATTACGCTCTATCTAACCATATGTGACAGAACAAAAAAATCTGCTATTCGAATTCTGCACTTTCTACAAATTATTATCCACAGAAGAGACTATGCATGTTGAAAGTTTCGTATTTCAAACAAACTTTGTTTAAAGTTTGTGATTTTTCTATAAAAGGTGGTCTAATTTAAGATCAAAATTAATAAATTCGAGTATTCAGAAAACTTGGGCGCCTAAAAAAGCATCTAGAAAATAGGCATAATAACAGTTTGATTATGTATTCAAATCTCAATGGGAATCTATATCCTTTTAGAACTTTTGCTAGAACACTACGTAGGGTCTAACAGAAAAAGTCATTGAAATAGAAAGAAATATCTGAGAACATTCCTTCTTCAGTCTATCATAATACGTTCGCAAGCAGTCATACGGATACCTAGGTCAAGAAATAGGGACTGTTTCAGATCCGAAAGCTTGAAAAAATGGTAAGACCTTAGAAACAGAAACTCAACGATTGGCTTTGCTCCTCTGAGTTCACTCTGGGTCGGCATCGAAAAAATTCGGTCACTGGATCGCTGTATTCAAGTTCCTATCATTGTGCCGAGTTTTTGAGAAGGAAACGGTGCATTTTCTGATGAGTTCTCACTAGAAATCTACCCATCGGTGGCTGGATTCATTGGCATGGATACAAGGATTTGTAAGAAAAACTTCGACATGTATCCATAGTATTCATATTGCATTCAATTCAGGCGAGTGAGTTCATCGTCATGAGGATTTCTTTCTTCATGTTGAGAATTCCTTCAGGTTGATTCGGAAGGAGAGTGGAATTTTAAATTAATTTCGTATTTAGAGAGATCAATACTTAAATTCGCTTTTTCTTATGAACATCACTCGTTCTTACATACACACTTACGGTAGCTGGTAGGCATGGGCCGCACTGCCACTCTGGTTGACTATTCACCACCAGCAATTATCTTGCAGGTTCAATTATGAAGTTTCGATCAGGAAACTATTCTAGCAGTTCAAAGTATGGGTTATTCAGGCAATTATCCAAGTATTTTAATACTATACGGACGATCATAGACGTGCCCCAATGATCGATTAGGTCTGAGTTCGAGTATTTATGCACACTGTTGGCCATTTTCAGTATGCCTACAAACCTTCGGTATTTCTATCAGTCATTGCGTAGTGTGTAAATCTACCATAGTCAAGCCTGATATTCTTTTTGTTGGCTTACTTCTCCCTTTTATTAATTAACTGAAAATGATCGCAATGTAAACTAAGCTTCAACCTAAATCTACATCCAAAAGTTCAATTTCGCTGTATACCAAGATGTTTGCCATTATAGTGCTTCTATTGGACAATTGACATAGACTTTCGCATTCTATATCAGGTTTACATACAGAAATATTCATTTTTCGCTTTGATGATATATGGGTAACGAGAAGATAGTTCTACAATGACACATTCACATTCTCCTTCATTCAAATTATAACATTCCTTCGATAAAACTAATCACCCAGGCTTCTAATTCAAATGTAATAGTCATATCCCTGTAAAAAATGAATTATTTTAAGATCTATGCAAGAGTCGTATGAAATACGCCTATGCAATTATGTTCAGCACGAATGTAATCAAGTATTTAACTCTACGATTCAGATCACTATCACGCTTATTTTAACAACAGTCTTATTTCCTTTTGTGAAAAAGTCAGATGCATGTGAAAGCATTTAGAACACAGCTGTTTTATGAAACATAATTATTAAAGCGTGCTCAAGAAAACAGCAAGAGAAGCGAACTTTCCATTCCAACCAGTTTCACAGATCATAACACATGTTCACATGCCGGTTCTTTCTTCCTACTCCAGATTGTAAGAAATATTGAGACTTTTTTATGTACGATTTAGAGCAGCTCCATCATATTTGACACTTTGATCGATAAAAAACAACATTCAAAGTCTTACCAGTTAGAGGAGAGTCTGTTAAAATGCTTCCTTTTTGTCATCAAAATATTTCAATCATGTGTTCCATTCCTTTTCAAAAGAGATCTACCTAAATATCCTCTGATTACCTTAACTATGTTTTATGAAGGCCGATTCCTCGAGGACACTGAACATCATGGCGAAGCAATTGGGAATATTTGGGATGATTATCCAGTTCCTATACCGTCCTCTGATAAATTTAAAAAAGTTTATGGCTTGCATGAAAGTGCTTCCTACACCAGATGCACAAATTGTCGAGCAAAAAAATATGTTTCATGTAGGTCTTGTAGCGATGGTCTAATCAAGTATGATTCATATGATTACTTCGAATAATAACTTAATCGTATACTATAATTGTAGTAACAGAACACAAATTTGTTCTAATTGCAAAGGTACCGGGAAGGTACGCTGTCCCGATTGCAAGGGATATGGAGGCTTTCGTCACCTACCAACATTAACTATTAAATGGTTTACTCGAAAATCTACATGGCTTTATCAAAACTCATTTCTACATCAAAAAAGAATTCGCAAAGGACAGCGAACAACTATCTGGTCAGTGAAACAGATATCATGGTCGAAAGGGTCGTCCATAGAGAACTGTGTTCAGCCTATAGATGAAGAAACTCTTGATGTTCCTCTGAGGGCAAATATTATCAAAGACTACCATGAAAAACATCTTGGCCCTATGAGAAATGAAAATAATGCAATGAGACGCTTAGAATGTTCTGTAGAGAAAATGAATTTCAAAGAAATTTGCTATACAATGGGAGAAAATTATGTGAATCAACGAGATCCAAAATTAGGTATGATTTTTCATCGGAATATTCTTCAAATCATACGATTATTTGCTTTCATAGAAAACACTTTTCGATTTTGTCAATATCCTGGCCTTCAAGGGCAAGATTTAATCTATGAAAATGATTATCCACTCAACTGCTGTGGTTGTTTTGGAGAAAAAGTAGCTTGCTATTCGTCGTGTTGTACTATTCTCTAAAATTAAGTGACCAAATTTACATCAATACTTATTATGTGAAAGATCATTGATTGAAATACTGCAAACAGTGACTTTGATTATGTCCGCTTCTTATTTTATATAAATTTTTATCTTAAGAACCAATATTTTTTATGGTCTTCATAGCACGACGGATGCTTACTATTTGAGAGTGTGGATGTGAGCGTGAGATATAGTAAGCTTTGCATGAGTATCGGTTAAAATCTCTATCAGTTCAATTTTTACAGATGTCGTATCAATATGACAGAGCTTAAGAATTTGCATCTGCTAACACTCATTATCAAAAGAACATGCCAAAGTGAGGAACAATTGCTTTTTGTACTAACGACTATCATCAGAAACTTCATATTACGCATTGTTTGTCTAATATCATAGATTTAACTGGTTATCTTCAAATTGAACTCATTATTAGACATACTTTTTATCGTAAGTAGTACGCGTCAAGAGAAAGCCCAGCAATAGAACTGTTTGTGAGAAATAAAACTCAATATAGAGGTTTCTATCGATTAAAACGAGAGCATCATGCATCATTGAGACATTCTGATCTCGTATCTGCTCATACTATGATCCAAAACCGTCTGAGTTTAATAATAAAGCATCATCAGATAACTGAAGAAGTAAACAAGAATTCTGAAGAAAATACATTCGATAAAATAATTATTAATGAACCATCAATAGCTTTCGATATCTTCAACTCAATTTTAGCACAAGGATCATTTTATAATTTGAATAAATAGTCCCTCCAGTTTTCGGGTGTGTGGTGTGTGTGGATGCATTTTTTATCACACATACACAGCCACCCAATCGCCCCCACCTCATCCACATCCGAATGCACAGATTTAATTAGTCCGAAACGGATGAGCGATTTACCATTCACTAATTTTTCTAGATGAATATTTCTCTACATAATGCTTTTATATTGCACCAGAACACAGTTCAATTGAAACTATTGTCACTCCCATACCTATTCAAGAATTTACAATATGCTTGACATGTTTGGTTTGGTTTTAATGACAACATATATTGTCAATAAATAATACTGTCGAAGAAGCATGTGAGGAGACGGACATGCTACTTAGTTGAGCTGTCATCAAGGTATCGTAGAACTTGAAAGTATCAATTTTAATGAAAAGAATGGGTGACCGCTCACTTCGGTACATGACATTTCGTCCCGTTCAATTCGCCCCACACGATTCGTCCCAATTACACTTCGTCCCATTACATTTCGTCCCCTTACATTTCGTCCCAATTACATTTTGTCCTAATTACATTTCGTCCCCTTACAATTCATCCCAAGTTCATTTTGTCCCCTTACATTTCGTTCCAATTACAATTCGTCTCATATCTTTGCTAAGATCAACTTTTAGTTATTTTAATTAGATGTCGTGTAAATACTTATCGTCGCGTCTATTAATCATCGCGATAATAAACAACCAATGAACAATGAATATATTCCTTTTTTTCTATTCTACATATTTATCGAGATTAATTTTCTATTTGTCATTCAACCACGTGCGCTCGTAGTTATTGGCATTTTGTACAAATTTGTACAAATAGTATAAACAAAAATATGAATACTATTGAGGTATGAAAGAGTTCTCGAGGAAATTCAATGGTATATTTTTCAGAATATTTGTACACTCAACATCGAATAACAGAAGAAAAACGTATATTTCGTTGCGAAGATCCAAATTGTAGAAGTAAGTGTAAATCGTTAAATCTAATCTTTTAACTTTGCTTGATATTATTTTTTGGTCGTTGTCAAACGAATATTCAGATGGAAGTATTACTCAAAGAACCATCTGAACATTCTCATGTACCTGATCCAGATCGGCTGCACCTCATTCGACTTAAAAATGAAATTAAAAGTCGTGGTGCATCATCAGATGAAGGAGCTAGTACGATACTATTTGATGTATTACGGACAATTCCATTAACTATAAATACTGATTTACCTACAAATGACGCATTGTTGCAAACGATTCGATTTAACGACCAGCAATGCAACTTGATCATAATGGTCGTTTACCTTTAATATTACGACAAACTGATCGAGGAGAAAGTTTTATTCTATATGAAGATGATTCTATGGTAATATTCACATGTGATAAGGACTTATCAGTTTTAAAGCAGTTAAATTTATTAAAATAAACTTTATCTCATATTGCTATACTGAGAATGAATAGTTACAATATGGGACGAAATGTAAGGAGACAAAATAAAATTGTGACGAATTGTAAGGGGGCAAATTGAAAAGGGACGAAATGTAATTGGGACAAAATGTAATAGGGACGAAATGTAAGGGGACGAAATCTAATGGGACGAAATGTAATTGGGACGAATTGAATGGGACGAAAAGTAACGGGATGAAAAGTAGGGGACGAAGTGTAGGGGTACCAAAGAATGTGCTATTCACTAGAGAAATTTTAATTGCAAATCAAATTAAAGAAAAGATTACACTTAAGCTCATGTTCGAAATACGACAACAATACAGTCATGTACGAAATTTGTATGCTAACCATAAGATCATACAAAGAATCGAAGGAATCATTGTACAGAATGGAGACAATCTTCGTACTGTACTTTTGCGTGCAATGTACTGTGATAAAATACGATCTATTTTCGTTCTCGACTTCCACTGCTTATATGACTATATAGATTCTTTGCTTTATTGTAAGTATACAGAGAAAAATCGAACCCTAAGCAGCATCCATTATGATCCTCTAGAAGTGCTCAAATTTCTATCTAACGAAACGTTTTAGAAAATATTCATCCGGAAAGACTATAAAATGAAAAAAAAATGTGGGCTTGCATGGATGGTAGACTGACACCCTCTAGGTGAACAATATTACGGTGATTTTATTGAATCAAATAGAATATCTAGATAGTTCATCGTTTATACTTACTAAATAACAAAAATAAGGTAATTATTGCATTTCTATCTTTTAATTTTTTTTTCAACTTTCTATGGTCTCCGTTCAAATATTAGTATTATACCATACGAAGGAAAATTTATTCTCCTATATAGTTCAAACTTTTTAAAGCATATTTCGACAAATATTTCGTTATGATATGATTTTTGATTTTTTTCGCGTTGACATTATGCTCATTGACGTTTTTGTGATAAAAATAATATTTGTTTTAATTCGTGATCGTTGATGGCATCCTTCATACGTGTTTCTTCTTTTCTTGCTTAACCAGATACTTACCTCTACGTTCTGTCGATTATTGTTTTTTAAAACCATATTTTTGCTGATTGCATTCTTATCATCAAAACATTTATACTCTATGATAAAGGACTATCACCACTCTCCGTCAAGGTATTACTTGTAATTATTGCAAGTAAAGAAAGCAAAAGAAATGTGCCATCGTCGAGCATGATGAAAACAACTGATAAAAAAAAACCAAAGCATAAAAAGAAGCGTTTAACAAAAGATTTTTTTTCACCTATTCTTTAACACGAAAAAAATGTTCGTATTTGTCACTCTTCTTGTCTGTCTGGTAACATTGATAATAGTATATTTATGGACGGTTAAATCTCGATATACTTATTTTCAACAACGAGGTATTCCTTGTCCTCCGTTTTGCTTTTTTTTCGGTCATTTCAAAACTATTTGGTCAATTCCTTTAAAAACTCATCAATGGCAACAATGGACTCGTCAATTTGGATCAATTTATGGTTTATACGAAGGTAGTCGTCCAATATATATTGTTTCCGATGCTGATTTTCTTCAAGAAGTATTCACTAAACAATTTTCATCATTTCATTCACGACATTTACCATTCGTTCTTCGAGAAGCAAGCAAAAACAAACCTAGTCTATTTAGTGCTATTGGAGCAACTTGGCATCGTCAAAGACAGGTTATTAATCCAGCATTTACATCACTGAAATTGAAATTGATGGCACCGATGGTGCACGATTGTGTTGATTCTTTAATGAAAAAAATAGCAGAATATTGCGAAAAAGAAGAACAATTAGATATTTACACGCTCTATAAACGATTGACAATGGACGTGATGTGTGAGTATCATTTGAATGTACACGAAAAAGATTCTTCTGTATATCTATTTAAATTTTGAAAAAAGGTCATTGTGTATTCGGTGTTGATACAGACATACAAAACGATATCGACAATGAATATTTTAAAAAAGCTGAAGAAACTGTAGCATACAATTTCGATAAAAACGCTATGGTTCGATTAAGTCAACTGATGCCGTCATTTATTCCGTTACTTGGTTATATTATGACTGGACAAATATTACTGGAACGTATCGCAAACAAATTCATTCGAAATATTGAAGAGATGCCGCGATTCTGGCTTATGAAACGTCTCAAATATTTAATCGATGTACGCACATCATCTTCTGACAAAGAAAATAAGAAACGACGAGTCGATCTTCTTCAATTGATGCTTGATGTTGCCACACAAAATGAAATCATGGTTAGTCTATTCGTTTAATCACAGCGAAAACAATTTAACATTTTAGGAACATACTGATTCTGATGTCATGTCGAAATTGATTCATTATGACGAAGTAAGTCATAATATGTTATCACTTATGATTGCTGGCTATGAAACAACAGCAACAACACTAGCTTATAGTACATACGTTTTGGCTAAAGAACCTCTTGTTCAAAAAAAACTTCAAGATGAAATAGATAATTATGATGAGAACAAGAATGAATATGATCAAGTTCATAATATGATCTATCTCGATTGGTTCATACGTGAAGTTTTACGAATGTTTCCTGCTGCACCTCAAGCTACGACAAGGGAATGCAATACTACTACTGTTGTTTGTGGTCATACGATAGATGAAGGTGAGATTTCTATTAATAAAATCTATTTTATTCATATTTTCATATTATTTAAAGGCTGTGTCATTCAACCGGATGTCTTGTCTGTTCACTATGATCCTGATTTATGGGGCCCTGAAGATCCAAATATATTCCTACCTGAACGACACTCAACTCCAAGACATCCTGCTGCTTTTATGCCGTTTGGTCTAGGTCCTCGTAATTGTATTGGGAAACGATTTGCTTTAATGGAAATCAAAATGTGTTTTGCACGTCTACTTCGACAATATTCAATTCATCCCGGTGATAAAATGGAAGAAAAATTCGAGCTAAAAGATACATCTTTTATTCTTCATCCAAAAACTGTTTATGTGAAAATTGTAAAACGCTCATAATCACTCAAATATAAGAATTTATTTAGATAGGATATTTCATTTTCTTAAAAAACATTAAGTGATAAATATTATGATTAGCATTGATAGTGAGATCATGAACCAATGGTTCTTCAATCGTGTTTATGCATTGAAACCACAATGACAGATCATTTAAGAACTAATGGCGAACTAAGCAGTTCGACCATGTAGCTATCATCGTATTACCATGAATAAATGTTACCACGATGTCTTTTAACAAGCCTAACAAATATATGAGTGCAGAAAACAACTAAAACCTTTAAATCGACAGTTACCAAACAAAATCAGTTCAAGTTTTTCAAGGACAATTCCAATGGTTTGTAAAATTTTATAATAAGTAGTAGTAACGAATTGAAAAAAACAATATTAATGGTTGCTGCCTCTACTATATAATTAAATCAAAAACCTTTCAAAAGTATGTAAGATATATTTTTTTAAATCTTGTGAACGAATGATCTGTTTCCTCACTAAGTTCTGTGACAGAATTTATGAGGCATTTTTATGAACGGAATTTTTTTCAATTTTAAGAGTGTTTTTCTCGAAAGTTCTTTCCCGATTTTTTCCTGGTTTAAAATCTACTCTCATAATACAGCTACTTGTTTTGTTTATTAATAAAACTATACATGTATTCAGAGTAAAGTGGCACTTTTGCCATAAAACTAACAAATTTTAAATATAGTCTGTCTTCATGTCACATTAACCAAGATGATTGAAATTCAACATTTCAGCAGAGTTTATTTGTCCTTTTTTTTTAGCAATGGTTTTAATGGGGCTCATCGAATTGTTCTTAAGGAACTCTATATTTCTATCCACACACGTCGACAGAATCAGTAAAAGTTCTGCTGAAATTTTCAACTGCAAACATCTGACATTTACTGTAAATATCTTCAAATTCGAATACCTTGGTCGATGCATGTCAATATCATCCTATATATTTTTTAATTTCCATGTTCCATAGCATTCCTCGCATAGAAAAAACTTGCAACAAGTATTTATTAAATGATAAAAATATTTGATGCAATAAGAACACAAAGATATGAAAGGAACGCCATAAGTATAACACTTTTAAAAAAATATCATGATAATAAAATCGATATAGAAAATGCTTCATCTATATGAAGTATTTGTTATAAAACAAACGAACAACAATTGCAATATTATAAACTATTGTAGGGTGTGGGTGGGTGTGGGT